TCGACCCATATCCATGGCCTTGACGTCTTCTGGACAGTCGACGATGAGCTAGGCACTGGGACCGACTGTCCCAGAGCGCGCGCAAGCGCGCGTCGGAGGTACTGGTAGCCTGTCTCGAAATGGTCCGTCCATTGCTGCATTGGCTCGAGCTTCCTGGCCGACATCTGGGACGTCTTGGCGCGAGCATCTACGCTCGAGCCACGCGAGGGGCCTCTCGACACCGTCCGCCCTGGAGAGCCAGCCTGGCCTGCAGCGCGCGACCGCGACCTCGGCCCTGCTCGTGACACGTGCCTCGAGCCTCGGGCCGCACAGGTACCTGTCCTCTGGTTTGGTGCCCTCCTGGTACTGGAGAGCCTTCAGCCTATATGTGCGCCAGGTCTTAGGGTCTCCATCCCGGCCTGGCACCTTCTCCTGATGATCGTCACTCGACTTCATCGCAGGGTTTCGTGTCAATCACGAGCTACGCTATCATGCAAGTTGCAAGTATAGGCGGGTATCGCGCAGCGGTGGCGATTTGCAACCTTCTTCTCTCAGCACAACTCATCTGCGTCAGATCGGGCTCCTCTCCAGGAACCTCGAAGTCAAGAACGTGTGCCCTGAGCACCAGCGAGGGGGCGCTCGCTCGAGAGAGAATCGGCAAAGGGCATGCACAGCAAACTCACGCTCACCTCGCATGACATGCTCAGGCTTATCACTAGGGAAATCTGCACATAGGGAGCTCCACCGACGGCCCCAGTGGCTGCTCTCGCATGCGGTTCGTCCACCCAGTGCAGCGTGGCCCCATAAGGGGCTCCACCAAAGGCCCCAGTGGCTGCTCTCGCGTGCGATTCGTCCACCCAGTGCAGCGATTCGTGGCCCCATCGGGAGCTCCAACGAAGGCCCCAGTGGCTGCTCTCGCATGCGGTTCCCCCACCCAGCACAGCACTTCGTGGCACCATAGGGAGTTCCTGCGTGACATCTTGCTTCGATGGCTATAACCATTTGGTGAGAGCCCGGAGTAAAGTTGCATTTCGTACAGGGCTGGAGGGTGAGCGTTCATTCAATCTTTGCCCCTGCCTTCCTCGCTTCTCCCCACTCTTTTTCTCTCTCGCCCCGTCGCCCCTTCAATTCTCGTAGTAATGCAGAGTCAGGTAGTGACGCAGAGTGACGCATCGCCCTTTACACTGGGGTGGGCACGATCTGTCCGCCCTATTGGCCAGACAGAATGCGCCAATGTGTTGTCTGAGCGTCTGTCGAATGTAGTGGGAACGCTTTAGGCATGTAGCGTGGCAGTGCAGCGGACAGAAAGGCAATGAACGGTAGGCGTCAAATGCCTTCTGCTGGGCAGATGAACCGCAGAGCAGCGGACAGGAAGGCAATGAGTGGTAGGTGTCACATGCCTTCTGCCGGGCAGATGTGCTGTAGACTAGCGGACAGAAAAGCAACGAACGGTAGGTGTCAGATGCTATCTGCCGTGATTTTTTGGGTTCAAGGCGCACCCGGCGCAGCGTCGGTCAAATTATGTCCCTCAGTTTTTGTTGGCATATCTGCGAATCGTGTATTCAGAGCAGTCCCACTGTTCTCCGTACTCCACGATGCAGCACATGCTTGTATTTGATGGAGACGACCCTGGTCTCGCACCACAGCCTCCACCCCTTCGTAATTCCCAGGCCCTGGTTGTACGCAGCAGCAGAGGCAGTCCAGCTAATAACAACAGCCTCACAGGGGTTATGAGCCCAAATGCTGGAGACACTGTGGTTGAGGGATGGGGAATCCAAGGCGCACAAGGAGTGTCTGGACATGCATCCGATGGACTCTCATGCGTTATGCGAGGCCTACCATCCATGGGTGATTACACAATGCAGCGCGATGACAACTGAACTGCAACGTCAGAGGTGGTCGACCCGCTTGGCAAACCAGTTGGTGACTTGGCGTTAACTGTCATTGTCGGCGACCGGTGCGTTGGGAGTTATGGGCGTGGCCGTCGGAGCGGTGACTGCGACTGCTTTGGGTTGAACGGTGTCGCTTGCCCAGGGAGCAGTAGAGGGGGCCCGGATGACCTCGCGAACTCCCCCCCCTGGATGAATGGCTCGCCCCGCTTTGCCTGCACCAGAGCCGGATCCTCAAGGACCTGCTGACGGACTTGCACGAGGGCGCTTTGCACTTCTCAGAGGGCCAGCGCCATCGGGTGAGGTGAGGTGCTGCATTGGCAGCAACGACAACGGCAACCTGATTCTTGCGACCTTGCGTTCTACGGGCCGGATGACAAACTATGAAGCAGCTCGTGCTGGAGATTGCCTGGCATGTCACATGTCGCACCGCCAATCCAGGCCATGTTCAAATCGGGTGATTGCGTTCGTTTTCCATGGTTCCACCCAGCGTGCCACAAGGTTCACCCAAGCCTCCTCTTCGAGACGGCACAGCAAGTTCAGATGGACCGCCTGGTTCATTCCAAGTCCTCCCAGAGCAGACGGGGGCGTAGCCAGCTTCAGCATCGTCGACTGTGGCGAGCAGCCGGTAGCAGCAGCGCTTTCACCATCAACGTCAACAGCGCCGCCAGACCCCGACGACCTCGAGCAATTGACTTCGATTTTGCTGCAGCTGCAGGATCGATTGTCGGTCGTCGCCCAGTCCGCCGACATAAGATTTTATGCTCGGGAGCACGCGCTGACGAGCCTGCAGGTTCAGCGCGCGGACCTCGCTTCCGAACTCGGGTCGGTGCGGGATTGATTAGGGCAGCTGGAGGCAGAGTGGGCGGAATGGAATCATGTGCAGTGGGGTCAGGAGGATGGTAGTCTTGGGCAGGCACTGGTGAGCGTGATGGATGGCCAGGAACTTGCTACGATGATGGCCCACGGCGGGTCGGCCGCGGCTCGCGACCTCGCGGCGGACGATGCTCCGCGAAGCGGGCCCAGGCTGAGGGCCCATGGGGAGGGTGATGGATTGGTGGCCTGGCACTCTCGCCCAGATCCGCTTGGGGCCACTGGGGGAAATATCTAGGGTCAATCTGCAGGTGCCTCCCCGATTACGTCACTGGGTCCAGGAATGACCTCCAGTGCAGCATAACGTGCAGTTCTTCCGACATCCGTGAGTCTGGTGGACCTCGGGCGCGAGCTGGGCGCGCAGGTCGCTGCATCCTTTGTGCCGCCATAAATGCGCCGAACCCCAGCGTCCCAGCTGCGGGGGCAGCGGGGGGATCTCAATTGTATGCTGGGTTCCCAGTTCCCAGGCCTACGCGGGCAGAGTGGTTTAATATCGGAGCGCAGACGGAAGCGCTTGACATGGGGCGTCCAGGGTCTGGGAATGCATCCAGCGCCAGCGCCCCCAGCTTCGGAGACGCACAGCAGGATGTTCTGGTGCGGCCGAGCTCGCAGAATCCACGCATTTTTTTTTTTTTTTTTCTTTCCCAGGTGTTCTGCAATCGGAAGGAGCGCCAGCGGGGCACTTGGTTCCGCCTCCAGCGCCTCCAGGTTTGGCGCTGGATCAAGAGATCCCAGCTCTAGAGTTTAATTTGCTGATGAAGTTCTTATCCGCGATGGGCGAGATGCCGCCGCGCACTGAACTTGGGGGCGCGCGAGCTCGGGTGGGGGGGGCGCTTTGCCCGGTGGAAGGTTCGATTGAGAAACAGCTAGACGTGTCGTCATGGACTTGTTGGGGCGAGTCTACGTGCTTGCGGGAGCGCGTTGCAAGCGTTAGTTTGCTTGTTCTGCTTTTGATCGCAAAGCCATGGAGGTCCACGATGCAATCCCCATCGTGTTCGAGCCGATTGTGGACTTGTTCTGCCTTCGCATCTCGGCAGCAACGCTAGCGCAACTCAAGGGCAGCATTGCCCGACAGAAAACTTGTGGAGTGGCATGGGAGACGCGCGATGTCATTTTCAAGCCCCTGAAGCTCGCGCAGCCGGGTAGCCTCGAAGGTCCTTGCGTTTTTGACTTGGCCACGTACCGCCCACAGTGCATGCCGGCGTGGTCTCCAGAAAAGGCGATGCCCATGTTCTGGCATTGATGCCGGCTGCTGGGCAAGGGCGCGATGCAAGGCGCAATCCACATTTCTCTCCATCCTTGATCAGGAAAAGTGTCAGCTTGCGCCGACCCGCCGTTGATGCTTCGGAGAGCTTCTGAAATCTTCTGAAAACGGCGGCGTGATAATCAAGGGCCTTCACCTGAGCACGTGGTCCGTCGAAGCGCCAATCGCCCGCGGCTGTGTGATGGGTTGAGGTTATCGTCCAGGCGGTGGTTTTCTCCACTCCCCAACCTACTTGTAGGCGGTGAAGGACTACCTACTGTGAAAGGCCCACGTGCATGCCTGGCTCTGTCGCCGCTGGTCTAGGCATGCCGTCGGCAACTGGATGGCAGGGTCGGCGTCGTTTGCGCGGCGTGCCAGCAGACTGGTCAGGCACCGTCCGCGTGTAGGCGCCGCGAAAGAGAAGCTCAATCTCCTGCGTACCGCCGTCACATTGCTGCCGAAGGTATCGTTGACCTGGTGGCTATACCCCAGCAGCTTGTGCTCCTCGGCGCTCAAGGCGCCCACACGTTTGATACTTCTTTGCTGTGCACGCGAAGCGGCGCACCTTGGTATTCATGCGCTTGTGCTTTGCCGCACGTACAACTCTGATAGCTCGCGCTTGTCTGCTCCCACCAGCTCTGTCAGCCCCAAGCCAGGCTGCCTGAAGCTTAAGTAAGACTCCGTGAAACCTGCCCTCTTTGACTTTAGCCGCAACCCATGTGGCGTCTTGGCTATTAGAGCAGACCACAACAGACTGGGGCGAAACTTTCAAATTACGTTTGCGTGTTTTCATGCACGCGTCGATGATGAACGATGCGAGCTGGTGGAGGGAGGGAGGAGGGAGGGAAGGAGGGAGGGAGGGAGGGAGAGGGGGATGAGGAGTAGGAGGAGGAGGAGGAGGAGGAGGAGGAGGAGGTCAAAGAGGAGGAGGAGGACGAGGAGGAGGATGCGAGCAGATTGAGCAGATAAGAGGGGGAGATCCCTGGTGGGGAAGGAGAAGGAGCCCTTCCGGGCAGGTGACCCAGTGGTCGGGGACCTTTGGCTTCATCCAGTTTCTGGACGGTCGGAGGGCTTACGTGCCGCGCTTGGCACGGGGGGCGGTTCCCCTCCTTACCTGCCACTTCTTTCTCGTCCACATCCTTCCTCCTCCCCCTCCTTGTTGTCCTCGTCGTTGTTGTCAGGAAAAGCAGGAGGCAGGAGAGGGCATGAGGAGGAGGAGGCGGATGAGGCGGATGAACAGGCAGGTGGACGAAGTTTCCGAGGGAGGGGGAACCAACAGGAAATGGAAGAGCAGAAGGGGTGCAGGAGGAGGGGGATGAGGAGGTGGCAGGACGATAGTAGGATTGTAGTCGTGTGCAGCTGACTGCAATCACATGTCAGCTGTGTTCGAACACATTTTTGACGAATCACCACCGCCGCCCTGCCTTTTGGAAGAGCCTACGTAGCCGAACGTTGCGGCCAGAGGTCGGCCAAGCTATCGGACTACGTGTTCCTCTGAGCCGTTGTGGGAACTCTTCGGAGAACACGCGGGAGAGAAAGAAGAAGAGGAGGAGACGGAGGAGAATAGAGGAGGAGAAGGCCTCTTTGGAGCCTCTTGGGGCGCTCTTGCGGACTCCTTGGAGCTTCCTGGGGGCCTCTTTGAGGCCTCGTGCGGGCTTCCTTGGGCCTCTCGGGGGCCTTAAAAGCCTGCTTGCCTCCGTGGGAGGCTCTTTGGCCGTCAGAGAGCGTTCGGGGCCTGTCTGACGCCTGGGCCGACTTGGTGCCCTCTTGGCGCACCAAGGCCATTTTGGATACTATCTTGGGCGTCTGGCATCTTGGGCCGTCAGCCGTCTCGGTTGTCTCTTGGCCGCTCTTGGGGCCATGCTGGTGGACTCTGGGGCTTTTTTGGGCCGTTGGAAAGCCGAAAACGAGCACGCGCCCAACTCCTCCAAACACCTAAAGGCACACACACACACACACGATTTTGGCTTCTTCGGGCCTTGCTGGAGGTCCTCTTGGCGGCCTTTTGGGCAGTTTTAGATGCCTCTTGGACTGTCTTGGGCGATCTTGAGGCCATCTTGGGTAATCTTTTGGACATCTCGGCCTGTCTTGGAGACATCTTGGGGCCGTCTTGGAGGCCATATCTTGTGCCATCTTCATCTTGGGCCATCTTGGCTGTCTTCGCGGCGAATTCGACAATGTGATACGTATTTTGGGCGACTTTCCCGGGCTTTCTGGCTGGTCGGCGGTATCGGTCGACGGCGGCGGATTATTTTGGTCGTCTCTCCTCTTTCTTCTCCCTCTGCCCCTCGGAATTGGGGCACTCGCTGGTCGTTGTGAGAGATCTGCGGCCCATCCCTCAACCGCGCTTGGGTTCTGGGGGAAAGGGCCTCTGCGAGATTCGTTGGGATGTCTTGGGAAACCGCTCGAGGGCTTCCTGGAGGCAGTTGTGAAGCTTCTTGGGGGCTGTTTGAGTCCCGGGAATCCTGTTGCAGGGTTTTGGGTGCCTGTGAAGGGCCTCCAGGGGCCTCCTGGGGGCATCTTGGGGCGATCCCTCGTGTGGCCTTTTTGGGCGCGACTTGGGCTGTTTTGGGGAGATCTGGGAGGCCTGTGAGGCCGTCAGGGACGCTTTGAATATCAAAAGGCGGATCTGCTGAGCATGTCAGGTTTCCAATAGGGTATGTGGCGATTTTTGGTTATTGGGGCCCTCGCGGGGTTCTCTTGGAGCCCCTTGGAGGCGTCTTGGAGGCTTCGTGGGGCATCTTAAGGCCGTCTTGTCTTGGTGCCAGCTGAGGTCTCTGGAGGCCCTCTTAGAGCGTTTTTTGGCCGTCGTGGGACCGTGAGGAGCCGTGTTGGCGCCTCCCAGAAAGCGCCGGACCCCCCCAGATGAGTTCACCTGGCGGTCGTCCGCGGCCATGGGGGGGGGAGGCGGGAACGGGGGGGAGGGTGGATTAAGAGAGGGAATAGTTTCACACGCTTGGAGACCCACAAGAAGGATCTCGACATGCACTTGTTTCCAGGAAATCTCTAGCGAGAGCTCCGTTTTTACCCTAAAGCGTTGTGTATCATAACGTCAATTTTGTCTTTGTATTTCGGCGTTGTCTCGAGCGAAACGGCCGAAGAAGGGGGAACCCATCCAGACAAAAACGGAAATTGCCGCTTCTCGGAGCTCGAGTTCGCACACGCCCACGGACTACAATCCAGCAGAAATGTGCGCACATGGGGTGCAGTCGCTGGAGTTCCCTTGAGGCACAGATGGATGCCGCTTATAGAGTTGATTTAGTCATCCTCCCTGTGCCCATTTCCGACGCACAGCTATGCGACCGAACTTGTGTGTTGGCTCGACACGCGGCCGCGCCCTGCCCGCCGCGTGCGTGCGCCCTCCGGGGAGCCCTCCCCCGGCCGGCTGGGCCCTCTCTTATCTATCTTGTCATCCAAAGTTTAACGGACACATGGGCACTCATATTACCAGGGCGATCAGGAGTACATCACCCGTACATAAATTGAACCTGAGCAAGAGACTACTACAGGACGAAGATGAAGAAGAACAGCCACGAGATGATCATGATCACTTGTTGCTTATCATCTGGGCCAAGATAGATCTCGTATCAACAAAGACTTGGCAAACCATTAGTTATCAGCCGAAATCTCTATCTTCGTTGAGAGTTGTAATTGGCTGATGGGGCAGGAACGGTCATCTGGTTCAATGATCAAAATTAGGAAAAAGTTCAACGCCAATGTTTTTGTCAAGTTCAAGTTCAAGCTCGTTGAAATCTTGAAGTTCGGAAGCAGTTCGGTTAGAGTTCGGCGGCGAGACAAGAGTTTAGAACAAGTTTGGAAAACAGTTGGAATACTTTCTGCGCCAACGGAAAAGTTTGAAACATGTTCGAGCGCTAAATTGGCGCCTGGGCCCTGTCTGTTGTGCGCAGCGTTTCGCGACTGATTTTGCTCCATTCGGCCGAGGAGTGCATGGTCACAGTCCGGTCGCCTCCATGACCTCTGATTCACAGTGCTGTCAGAATGCTGCGTGGGAGAGCACTGATCTCCGACAGCGCACTTGAGCGTCGCGTGCAGATGTCGTTCTCGTTGGTGCAGAAATCGCCTCGGTGTGGCGTGCCCCATGCTCGGCTGAGACATGTCCCGCGTGTAGTTGGTGGTCGCGTCGATGGTTTTCAGGATGACGAGCACGCTTGTCATGTCTCTGCTCTTCGCTTTCCCACTTGTCGCCCAGGTCGGTCTCGGGGGCAACTCCTCATGGCCAGCGAAGGCCGGGCCTGCAACGTTTGTTGCGCGCATCAGTCGTGCCCGGCTGGGACAGGAGTGGAAGGAGACTCGGCGTAGCTCGCGCTCGATATCGCGCGCGGGTAGGGCTTCGCGCGCGGCGCATCCGCGGGGCCGCGTGCTCGCCCTGAAAACGCCGCGGCATTTCGCGCGCAACACGCGCGCGGGCGTTCGTGGCCGCGCGGAGGGGCGCGGGGCACTTCGCGCGCAACGCGCGTGGGCGATCCTGCAGCCGCGCTGCGACGCCCCGCGCGCGTCGCGCGGATGGCCCCTCCGCAGCTGCACGCGCTGGCTTTGCGGCGCCGCGCGCGGTGCGCGCGTGGCCGCGCTGGAGGGCCCCCGCTCGTCGCGCCGAGCGCGCCGGCGAGATTTGCACGCATGGCTGATTCATATTCTATGGCAGACTCACAAGGGAGCGGAAAACATAGCGGCGCGTCTTGCAAAGCGCATGGGCGGGGCTGCGGCGCGCCGGAGGATCTGCGGCCCCTCTCGCGCGGCGCGCGGGCGGGGCCCCGCGGGCGCGCCGCGGGCCCGCGCGCCCTTGCGCGGCGATCGCGGGGGCGGGGGGGTGGGCGCGCGCGCGCCGCAAGGCGCGCGCGCGCCCCCGCGCGGCCTTCGGGCGGGGCTGGCCTCGCGGCCAAGATTCAGTCTTCGCGCCCCCGCCGGCGACGCGCGGGCATGGCTCCGAGACCGCCCCGACGCGCTGGCGCGCGCCCCCCCCGCGCCCCTTCGCCGCCGCGCCTTGGCGCGGCGCGCGGGCGGAGCCGCGGAGCTGCGCCGAGCCCGCGGCCGCCCGCGCGCCATGCGCGCGCGAGGCTCGCGGCCAGGGCGGGGCGTCTGCGCGCCCCCCCCCCCCCGCGGGCAAAGCGCGGGCAGGGCCCCGTGGCTGCGCCGATGCACCGGCGCGCGCGACCGCGCGCGACCCCCCTCGCCCTGGCCCCCGGATCGGCGCGCGGATGCGGCCGCGGGGCCGCGCCGAAGATCCCGCGGCCACCTGCTCGCCGAGCGCGCGCGAGGGTTCGCGGCTAGAACGAGGGGTCTGCGCGCCCCCGCGGGCGATGCCGCGCGCAGAAAACTTGCGGACTTCCCCGCGCCATGCGCGGGCGTGCGCCGCGCGGCCTCGCCGACAAATCTGCGGCCCCCGCGCGCGGCGCAGCGGCGGGGCTGAAAAAAAACCTGCGGGCCGCCGTGCCTGGGTCTGCGGGGAAGTAGGGGCCCTTCATTGCGATCGCTGTTTGGGGGGAGCTCTTCGCTGCCCGGCGCAGATGGCGGGTGCGCGCGCTGACCGCCCGCCGCGGCCTCGCGCCGGGGCCCGGCGCGGGGCCCGACGGCGGGTCGCCGACGCGCGCCGCGCGCGGCCCTCGCCCGAAAAGTGCCCATGAAGCGCCGTTGACGCACCCGTGGCCCGTCGGGAGCCTCTAGATTTTTGAATGCTGGTGCTCCATGGCAGCGCGGGCTTAATTTAATCTTCAGGCGCGTTGCGTTTTGTCTCCAGACGCGGCCCTCTGCGGGCCGTCGGCCCGACCCATGAGGGCAGTCAGTCGGCGTGGCCCTTGAGGTGGCCCTCGGGCCATGGGAGGCGTATCCTCCGAGGGTGCCGCAATTTCTTTGTTTGTTTTTCTCGCGGCGCCCGGGGCAAGTGCATCTGGCGCCTTTCGGCAGCGGGCCCGCGAAATCTGACCTCGCTGGCGGCGGGGCGGGGCGTGGGGCGCTTCGGCGGCGTTGCGCGCGCGCGCCGGCGGTGGCCTGTTCGGGCTGCTCTGGGGGGCTTCGAAGCCCACTGGGGCCAGGGGGGGCCGAAATGAGCTCCGGCGAG